AAAAAAAAAGCTAAAATAAATCTCAAAAGGGGGAGGAGTGGAGGAAGGCTGTCACCAAGGAACATTTTGGGGGACAAAGTGAAGGAGGACGAAGAGATGCTACTGGTTGACCATGAGTCGTCTTCTAGAAGCTCTGAAAGGTTCTAGATAGCGTCTTGCTCACACATTCAACCGATCTTGCTGGCGTCCTGTTGTCTGACAGGATACAAACATGGACAAGGCAGACATTAGCAAGACGTGCGCCAGTCCCAAGAAGGGTTTGTTCATAGTCAGTAAGGCGGACAGTAGGGCTGGGCCCCTGCACAGTGATGGGCATCTGTACCCACAGCACAGTGACTGGGTTCAAGTCTAGGCTCCGCTAGGCATGACTGCAGACTCCTGCAGCTGTGGACCCTGGGAGGCACAAAAGGGATCGCATTGTGGGCTGTGTGGGAAGCAAATCAGCAGGTTGGGAGATCTTTGTTTTTAAATCAATTAAATATTTTTTCCAGAAAAGCAGAACAGAACATGATAGTCCAGTGGGAAAGGCAATTGGGCGATTCAGTTAGTCAGGACAGGAGTGGAAACAGCCCAGCACCTGGTGCCCGCACCCCGGGTCAGAGAGGGGAGTGTAACAGAGACAGAAACAGGGCTATGGGAAAGTAATGAGACCGGGGGTGCCCCCCGAATCCCAGGGCCAGAGAGAGGAAGGCGCAAGGTCATTCCTCAAGTGCCAGGGTCTTCCTCAGCAACAGGAATCGACCACCCTGCAACACACTCAGAGGGGGACGCTGTGGACGTTCTGTGCTCCAGCGCCCACCTCGCACGCCTGCAAAGGCACTTTCCACGGCCTCAGCCTGACCAAGCCAGAGAGCCAGACAAACCCTTGGAGGATCCCCCCCCATGCAGGCTGGGCAGGCCTGGGGGTGCAGCAGGGAGAGCTGGCTGGGCCTGGAGGGGCGGGAGAAGATGGAAACTGGCAGGAGCTGACCCACGGAGACCGCACAGCATTGTGGTTTTCGGAGTTTTGGATCGGGAATGCACCGACTGTACCTGTTGTACCTGCCGACGAACTCAAGGCTGACAGCTCTGCAAGCATTGCTCCTTAACACCTCTGGATGTGCGCATGTGCACATCATAACCTTGTGCTCAGGAATAGCACAGAGCCTCTTAGTCCCACAGGCAGGACGGCTGCAGACAGCAGAAGCCTGCCCGTAAAATATGCACAGATAAAGCCATTCTCAACGCGGTGAGGACACAGGCGGAACTACAAGATGGGGGTTCAAAGCTTAATTTAAGGACAGGAAATGTCTCTCAGCCAGTCAGGGTTACCATTTACTCATAAACCATTATTCTGAAAACCTCTGATGATTCCCCTTAATTGGTGGCCTCCCAGCAAGGCACAAAGGACAGCAGATGGTGGGGCACCCCTCAGCAACTTACACGGGAGGTGCTCCAAGCCCCTCCCAGGGGCGGTGACGCAGGTTAAGAGCTGCTGGAGACCCCAAAGCCATTCAGGCCTGCAACCAGGAGTTAAGCCACAGGTGGATCTGACCCAGAAGTGCTTCCTGGTCATGCCCGAGAAGGACCTGGAAGTTTTTAAAGAGCAAGCACCCTAACCTACTGAATCAGAGCCCAGGAAGCCGTATTTTTCTGAGAAACGCCCCAGCAGAGCTGCAGACAACCCAGGGCCCCCAGACTGGTCCTGCCTAGACCACACTGACTTCCTGGGGAACGACGGCCCCGGAGGGCGACAGGAAAGGGAGGCTACTGTCCCCGCCACCAGTCTGCACAGCACCAACTGAACTCTGGGGGCTGAGAAGGGCAGAGTCGGGCAGGAAGCCCCGGAGCCTCAACAGAATGGAGCGCCACGCTGTGAGGGCCAGGGGACTCCTGACAGGCAAGGTCTACCTGACACGGGCAAGGAGGGGTCGACAGGGGCACCGGGTGTGTGTGTCACTTCCTGTACAGGTCCTGTGAGGCCTCAGAACAGCGATGAGAGCTGACCCTGCACCTCGGATGGAGCTGCCCCCATGCCCCAGCCTGTTGGCTCTGCTGCTCTGTAAAGTCTGTCAATCGCTCAGAGTCAAGCAGCAACCTGGCTTGGGCACAGATACCCCAGGGAGAAGCACAGGTGTCTGTGGGCTCGCTGGCCAGGCACAGCCGGGACGCGGTCTCTGGTCCTTGGCTGTCTCCTCCCTCCGCAGCGACCTGGTGAGCCGCCCCAGCGTCTGGCTGGCGAGTACGAGGTCAGCTCACTAATCATGCCAAGGTCAGAGGCCGGGCCTCAGATAAGCCCAGTTCCCTTGCCTCGCCTGGGGACAGTACCCTGTTCCCCAGCCCAGATCCTGCCACCTGGTCATAAAAGCAAGCAGCCAGGGTGTGGACAGATCAAAATGGTGCAAAGAGCCGGTCAGGTGACCGCTGATGGATGGGGACATGGTAGCATCCTGCATTTGAAGGACAGCACATCAGAAATGACCTCACGGGCACCTAATGAGTTCCAGAAAGGAGCTTTGTTCTCCTGGAGACAAGGTGGGAGATCAAAGCATTTCTTGCTAATCGCCATTGAGCACTAACGACTTGTTAAGTAACCTGACCCCCGCCAAATCCCACTGCCTACCTCGCATCCTGGCGGCCTCGGGGAGCGCCCTTGATCTTTCAACCCAACCTGCATCCAATTGGGAGGAAGCCGACTGCGGACCTGGGAACCCGGGCACCTCCGGTGGCCCCGGCAGTCAGTGGTTCGGTGAGGGCTTCCTTGGCTGTTAACTTTTTAACCTCACCAGTCAGGAAATGGCACAAACACAGCGCAGGCCTCCCCACCCCTTCCCCGCAGCCACACTTCTTGGGGGCTCCTGACAGAAGCAGGCAGATCTGGGGGCAAGCTGTGTGACCTCAGGTAGGTGGGTGTTCCTCTCTGAGCCTACAGCTTCCTGACACCATCCACAACCCAGGATTCAGAAAAGTCTGCTCTGGTACAAAACCCAGCAGAAACCTGTGCATGTGGGCAACCAGAGAGAGGGCCCACGGAAGAACCTCGCGGATCAACACCTGCACCTCGAGCTGCTGGCATCTCGAGCTACGAGGAAATCAATGCCTGCTGTTCAAAGCACTTGTTGGAGGACTCGGCTAAGGCAGCCCCAGAAAATTAATGCAGTCCTCCGGGCACATTCTACAAAACATCACTAAATTGAAAAGAAAAGGACTGCACCTGACAGTTCTATAATCAACAAGACACATGGCCGGGTTGGCAGGGACACGGAGGAGCACGAGCCTTCGTGCACTGCCGGGGGAATGCGCAGCCAGGCAGCCACCAGGAAACAGATGCCCAGAATGCCCACACACGGAGAACACCCCACAACCCGGCAAGGCCCCTCTCAGTCTATACTCAAGAGAAATGAAAACATGTTTCTACAAAGGGGCAAGCACTTGGTACAGGAGCTGGGACACGGCTTGAAATATCCAGGGTCCCTGTTTCAAGGGTGCCTGGAACTTGAATCCCAGCTCCACTTCCCATCCCGCTTCCTCCTCACGTGCACTGGGGGAAGGGGAGGAGGAGCAGCAGGTGATGGCTCCGGCACTTGGGTCCCCACCACCCTCAGGAATGACCTGAGTTGAGATCCAGAGCTCCTGGCGATAAGCGACCCAGGCCTGACTGTCACGGTATTTGTGATGGGCAGCAGCGGGTACAGCTGACAGTGCGTGGACGTGATGGACACTGAGGCTTTTCTACCTGTGCGTGGTAAAGCAGGATTCACGTGCGGGGTGGGTGTCTGACCCGCGTCCTTCAGAGGCTGGGATCCCACGCGGAGTCCCAGCTGCCAGCTAACACACAGAGCAGCCGTGAGGGCTGGTGTGCTCGGCTCCTCCCTCCCGCATGGAAGCCTCGCTGGCATCGCAGGCTAGCCCTAGCTGTGTGCACATCTAAAAAATGAACTGGCAAATGGTGACCCCCGCCAATACCTCCAATAAATAAATGACCCACATGGAAACAACACATGAGCCTCCCAACAGGTGGATAAACACAGCGTGGCCTGTCGGCAACGGATGGAACCTCAGCCACAAGACGGAAGGCAGCAGTGGACCAGCTGGACGACACTCAGACACAACAGCGGGACGCCCCAGTCACCCGGGATGTCCACGCCCCGGACTGCGGCGCCCACGCAAGTACACTGACCCACTCCTACTCCGGGGCCACAGAGTCCTGGGCTCGTCGGCTATCGAGAGCTTCCCACCCCAGCATTCAGCAGGGTCCCTTTGACCATGGGCAGCCGGGGGCCCTCCTGCCCAGCCCCCAGCCTTGGGGACTTTTTTTACCAAGCGCTCGACCTCAGCTACTTGGTTACAGCAACAGAAAACGGATTCAGACAGAGGCAAAGTCAGCCCAGGAAACAGCAGGGAGGAAAGGAAGGAAGGGGGCTGGGGTGTTATGGCCTGGCTTAAGCCACAGCTCGGGTGCCCACACTGGGTATGAGAGAGCCTGGGTCCTGCTCCCCGATTCCAGCTTCCTAACATGCACCCTTAGAGGCAGCAGTGACAGCCCAAGTGGGTCTTTATGCCACCCAGATATTCACATAGTTCTTAGTTCCCGGCTTTGGCCTGGTCCAGTCCCAGTGGGTGTAGGTATTTGGAAAATCGGGGATGGCAGATATCTGTCTCCTGGCTTTCAAAGAAATAAAAAGTGAAAAGTGCTAACTTCTTAGAAGACAAAATGAAAAGGAAGGAAGAGGAAAAAAAAAAGTAACAGAGTAAAAAAAATAACTCACCTGACCACAGGGAATGGCAAGACACCACTTCCCCACAATTTTTTGTGTGACCACCAGGGGGCACTGCTTGCAAGTTCCACGCTAAGTAAAATGAAACTTGGCAGTGAACACATTGCCAAAATCATTCCTCTTAACACCGGTCCCCTGTCCCAGGGCCCCTCAACAAGACAAGCTGCCAACATCCACCATACAGAAGGCATGAAAGGTCTGGGGGTAAAGTGGCCCGCCGGCCACGGGCAGGCTGCATCCTACCTTTGGAGTCTTCTTTGGCCAAGTGACCACAGGGAACCCAGTGATGGCCAGACTGGGGTCGTCGTCCGCATGCTCCTTCAGGACATTCTGCGGCCAAACAGAGAAGCCATGTTAGCCCGGGGTGATGGGGAGGCCTCGAAAAAGGGGCTGGAGGATGGACCTAAACCAGCACAAGTTCCACCCATCTCACACACATACACCAGGTGGTGCCTGAGCCACCAGTGGCCTCTGCCGCCACAGAGCACGTGGCATGGCCCTCTGCAAAGACATCGGCAGAGTCAATAGCGCCCTTCTGCTGCTCACGAGACGCCAAATGCTTGCTCAGTGCTTGCTCGGTGCCTCATCCGCACAGTCCTGCACACTCTGGGAGGGCTCAGGAGCACAGTGACCCTGGCACCATAGGTCTCCTAAGGTTCACAAGCTGACTCTGCACGCACAGACACAAGTAAGAGGGAGGCCGCTGGCCAGGGACTGGCCACACGGAATAGCGGGCCATGTAGGATGCACCGATGGAGGACCCTGGCCAAAGGCTGGCCACGCAAGACAGCAGGCCACGTGGGACACGCTGGTCTCCCACTGGTCTCGCAAATCCGTTAAGGGTAACTGTGCCTCCCTGGGTTTTGACCCTGGACAAAGCCAACCCTAGGCCCTCAACCAGGTCCAAGATGCCACTAACCCATGCCAGGTTCACAGTGAGATGGCCAAGGCTCAGAGCAGACTCCAGGGATGTGGCGCCCACCAAGAGCAGGAGGGGCAGCGCCCGAGCCTGCCTCCGGCAACCGCACTTGCTATCCATGGGCACTACACTCATGGCTTCCCAGTCACGTGTTTTCTGAGCTACCCATACAGCATTCTATCCAAACAAAACAAAAACCCTCCTTAGGGACGCAGCGCCCTGGTCTCATCCAAGCTTGGACTGCAGAGCAACGTTCTTCCGGAGAGCAGAGTCCAGCCCACAGCGACACTGAGCAGCCTGGAACCCTACGGCGAGCACATAGCCAATAAAACCGATGCAAATAGCATTCATGCAGACAAATGTCCAACGAGGTACACTCAACCAAACCCCCGACTCGGGTTCTTTGAAACGGTCAAAGTCGACAAAAGCGGCCAGAGCAGCGCCTCAGGAGGTGGGAGAACAGAGCATACTGTGTGTGCAGGGTGGGGTCCTGGCACTGAAAAAGGACTTTAGGGAAAAGCCAAGAGGATCAATTCTGTGTCCAGACGGACTCGTCAGCGCTAACAAATCTACTTTCGGGAAATGCCAGGTAGGAGCGATGTTTGTGTGGGAGCTCGGTGCCACCTGCTGAATTCTCCTGCAAGCTGAAAGCTGCTCTAACTCAAAGTCTATTAATAAAAGATGTTGCAGAAAATGCTAGACAGTCCTGACGGCCACGGGAAAGCAGCACAGGCCGCCGAGTTTCCCAACGTATAAGCGGCATATTTAAACACAAACACAGCAGCGGGTTACACAGTGCCCGCATCCCACACTGCAGGGACCATGACCGAGTCCTGCCTTCATTCGTGACTCCCCCCTCTGTCAGTGTGCACCTCAGGAAGCAGCAGCTGTCAGCTCCAGGGTCTGGGTTCTCGTCACCCACGTGGGAGGCCTGCATGGCATTCCTGGCTCCACCACTCTCACGTACGACCTCCTTGACTACCCAGGGACTGTTAGCATTTCCGCGGCACAGGGACCTGCAGCTTGGGAGACGGGTGGGAGCTGGGCCGAGTCTGGATCAAGGAAGCTCGGAAGCCCTGTCCATCAATCGGGGTCACTCTAAGACGGCAAGGACGCCCATGTTCATAACAGCGTAACTCAGAGCTGACACCAGACAAAAGCAACCCTAGGGTCCCCCACCCCATAGGTGACCCTATGTATACATAGGTATGGCCTGTAGATATATGGGATGGTGGCATTACAGCCTTGGCTTAACCTGCTATGACAAAATGCTGGCCCCTAGATTTTTTTTTTAAATTACTTATTTTTATTGCAAAGTCAGCTATACAGAGAGGAGGAGAGACAGATAGGAAGATCTTCCATGTGAAGATTCACTCCCCAAGTGACCACAGTGGCTGGAGCTGAGCCAATCCAAAGCCAGGAGACCAGAGCCTCTTCCGGGTCTCCCATGCAGGTGCAGGGTCCCAAGGCTTTGGCCGTCCTCAGCTGCTTTCCCAGGTAGGCTAGAGCAGGGAACTGGGTGTGAAGTGGAGTTGCTGGGATACAAACCAGTATCCACGTAGGATACTGGTGCTTGCAAGCAGTTAGGGCACTGAACTGAGCCCTAGCTTGTTTTTTTAAGTTCATGGAGAGACTAGTTCTGAGGCAAGCACCTTAAGTCCCTGCTCACAACAGCAGCATCCCGTACGTGCTGACTGGAGTCTAAGCTGCTCCTCTTCCGATGCAACTCCCCGCTGATGTGCCCAGCAAAGCAGCCGATAATGGCTCGGGTGCTTAGCCCCTGCCACAAGGACGCAGGAGACAAGCCTCGATGGAGCTCCCAGCTCTGGCTTTCAGCCAGCACCAGTGCCTGCTAGAGTGGCCATTTGTGGAGAGAGAACCAGTGGCTGGAGTATCTCTTTTTCTGTCTCTCCCTCTAACTCTGCCTTTCAAGTAAATAAACAATGGAATTAACAAGTTAGATATGGTGCAAAAACACTTATGGAATCCACAGAAAGCTTTTGCTATCCCATGCATTTTCCCATTAACCTTCCAGAGGTCCCCTATATACTACTTCAAGGTATTTGGTTTCAAAACGATTTCTCCATTTTCCCACCAACTTTTAAGTTCCCCTCGCCGGCCACCAGAGGGCGTTCTGAGTCCTTTCCCGTGGGGCAGCATTTCGGCGTTAGAGGCTACAGGAAAAGCGGAATTACTCTAATTGGAGACTTTTGCCTCTGAAATATAGAGGGTCCTGGAGGCGATCACAGTTGCCAGACATGGCCTGAATTTATGCACAGACACGAGGATGGTCTCCTCTAAGGGTCACAAGCCCGCCTGGGAAAGCCCGGGGCAGGTTTTCTGAGTGTTTCTGCCGGAAACTGCCCTGTGTTTGACCTAACCAGACAACCACAGACAACGGATGGCTGCCCCTCGGCTCCCCCTCATGCCAACTTTTCTCCAAGAGCTTAATTCGTTCACAATGGTTGCTCCCCAGGGTGGGGTTTAATAATTAGAAACTCCTGTCCAGGCAGAGACTAAAAATACCCGGCTGGGACCACAGGGCGGAGGCCGACTTCTGGACAGAAGCACCAGCCACAGGCCGCTGGAGACATCAGGGCAGTAACTGCACAGAGCGGCTCAGACTCTTCCCAAGGGGCACCTGGCAATCTCGGGGAGCCCCTGTGGTGCAGATGAGGGGCCCCGCTGGGCATCAGTGCACCCCAGGTCTCCCAGCAGCCCTCCCCCACCCCCGTTCTGGCCTGTATTGTGGCTACAGGGAAAAACCCACTGGCAGGGATTGTGACTGGCCCAAAAAGTTTTGTCCAAGTCTCCAGTTACCTGCAGGTGTGAGCTTGCATGGGGGGAAAAAAGTCTTTGCAAATGTCCTAAGAATCCTGAGAGGCAGTAAATCCAATGACTGCTACCTCTATAAGAAAAAAGGGCTGGTAGCAAATTAAGCCACCACCTGCGGTGGCAACACACTATAGGGCACCAGTTCAAATCCCAGCTGCTCCACTTCTGACCCAGCTCCCTGCTAAATGGCCTGGTAAAATGGTGGAGGGTGGCCCAAGTGTTTAGGCCCCTGCATGCATGTGGGAGACCCAGAAGCTCCTGGCTTCAGCCTGGCCCTGACCCGGCGGCTGTGGTCCTTAGGGTAGTGAACCAATGGATGAAGGGTCTCGCTCCTTTTGTAACTCTGCCCTTCAAACAGCAGCCAAGGCGTTCCGGGAGCTGCAGGGAACCTCAGGATGCCGGAGGAAGGATCCTCCCTGCACTGACTTTAGACTCGGGGGTGGGATCCGTTACAGAGGAAGTTTGTACTGTCTGAAGCCAGGCAGCTAGCAGCCATTGGTTAGAGCCACCTGGGACCCACATGCCAGACATGTCAAACATCCGGGCTGAAACTCCAACAGGCTGTGTGGGTCTGGCCAAGGCAATGCATCTCTCTCTGCTTCTTCACCTGCAATGACACAGGCCCCACTGCTCCAGATGGCCGGGAGACGTGGGGACGTCCCTGCCCGGGCTGCTGACTACTGAACTCAGTCACCCAACAGGCCCCAGGCCATTTGCTCACATCCACTGGGCGGTCGGTCAGCCCTGGGGCCTCCACCTCCTTTTCTCTAAGATACAGCTGCTGAGCGGATGAGGCCCACACAACTGGGGACATTTTCCTCTTATACGTGGAATCTGGTGTTCAGAAATTCCACAAGGCGCCATAATTCCATGCAATAAAAAGATACGTTGGGAATCCTGGGAAGGTGGGCATGGTGCTGTGGGCATTAGGAGCAGGGCTCAGGAAGCAGCTGCAGAACCACCTCGCAGAGGGGAATTTGGCAAAAATACCCACTTTTAGTCTTGGTGGTCACTTCCTGCGCTGGCCTATGCCCTTGACAACTTGCAATACACTGTGTTATCCTCAAGTCACAGCTGCTTGAGGAGGGAACCTGCTCCCAAACAGCCACAGGCCTCCCTGGGTTCTAGCTGGGTACAGAGAGAGGTCTCTGAGCAGGACAAGCCCCAAGGCGACTCCTGTCTTCGGCGTGTCTACTGACTGAGGTGTCAACCCCAGAGAGAAGGAGTGAGACACGGGCTCAAACAGGTGCTGCCCTCAGCCACATTTCCCCCGGTATCAAGGGTGTGGCCACATGGAGGGTCCCCAAGTTAACAAGAGGTCACACTGGATGAGTGACCGCACACGGAGAGGCAGCCATTGGCTAGCAGTCTGAGAGATGGCAGTGGTAGGGCAAGTGGCCAGGAAGACCAGGGACAGTGGGCAGCAGCTGCAGGAGATAAGGACGGAGCCCCCACAGCCCCCTGACACACACACCCCTAGAACTTCCTGATTCAGAGGGGTTTTCTTTTTGTTTAAGTCACCCAGGGGTGGAGGCCTGTTCTGCCAGAAAACGAATGCAGATGGGGAGAAGGAACTGGGGCAGGGGTGGGACGAGGACCTGAACCCGGGGGGAAACGGCCCAAGGTTCCTAAGCCACATGCAAAATTTTACTGTCTAGAAACAAATATTGGGGGAAATGGAGAAGTTCGTTATTTTCATAAAACTCCCCTAAAAAGATCAGCAATGGTCCAATCCCCCAAGAAAGGCAAGACCCAGTGAAATAACCCCTCCATTGATGGAGCCCAGCGGTCTTGGGGCCCCAAGACTTGGCTCTCAGCACCTGGAGGCCGCCGGGCGCTGGGCCAGGAGCGCGGACTTTAGACACAGGCGCCCTCTACTGGTGGCACCTGTCAGTCTCCTTGTTGCAGGTCTCAGTTCTCAAACACACACACACACCCACCCAACTCGCTGTCTGCCCAGGGTCCCAAGTTGCCGGCGCGTCTGCATCCTGACTCTAACACAAGGCCTCCTAAGTGAAGACATGAACGAGAGAACTGCCACGTGCAAGAAAAAGCTAAAATGCAGCGTTCCTCGCACCCCCACTGGCTTCACTCCGGAGCAAATGCCTGGGGGGGCCGCAATGCACCAGCAGCTCCCGGGTTCCTCTCACCCACCACGCACCTCAGGAGTGTGCCTCACCCTCTCTGAGCCTACCTATTCATTAAAGGCAAGCAAGTGTCCTGGTGTCTAGACACTCTGTATCGAGCAGCCAGAGCTGAGCTGCCCAAAGCCGGGGCATGGAGCCTGCCTGGGGGGTCCTCAGGGGCCTGGTGGCACCCACCCTGGCTGGCTGTGGGCTGTACAAGCTGTTCCCACAGCAGAAACGATGCTGGCCCTGGGCAGTACAACTTCCTGACCAGGAACGAGAGTTCCGGCTCCAACACCAGCTGGCACCATAACTTCACTCGCTGGTGAGGCCGCAGGACCTCGAAGAGCCCAATGATGGCATGTCTAACACCGGGCGGGCACTTGGCCTAGGGCTAGGATGCCAGTTGGGGCACCCACGTACCACCCTGGAGTGCCTGGCTCCAGACTCTGGCTGAGAAGGAACCTGTGGTTAACCACGCCAGCAAATTACTGGTGGCCTCTGCACAGACACCCCGACAGCCTGGGAGGACAGAGCTGACCCAGGTCACTGTACGGATCCTGCCCACCCCCCGGCCAGGCCCCTGCCCACCTTCACTCCCTCCAGGAGTGCCTGGGGGTCCTCGATGCCCTCGGGAACACACTTCTTGTTCTCGGGGAGGGCCTCGAGCTTCTCCACCAGAGCTTTCAGGCCCTTCAGTTCGAACTCGGTGAGGTGGGTCCACTTGGCAGGAACCTCCGTGGACGGAGAGCCGCTGGGCGTCTTGGGGTAATCCGTGGGCATGGCTGTGGACTTGACACTCTCCTCTGACTCATTAGACAAAGTCCTTTTGAGGAACCGCAGGGCAGAGGCCTTGGGCTTCTTCCCGGGGGTCTCCTGGTCCTCAGAGGGGGTGCTGGTGGGGGAGGCAGGGTGCTCAGCAGGCGGCCTCAGGGCCTTCTCCGCAGCCTCACCCTCCTCTTCCTCCTTCTCCTCCTGGGGCTGCTGCTCGCAGGACTCCTCCTCCATCTCCAGCCAGGAGTCAGATGAGAAGCCGTCTATGCTGGGCTTCCAAGGGGCATCTGCAGGGCACACAGGAAGCACGGAGATGAAGGCCTGGTCCCCAGCAAGCCCTCGGTGCCTCTGCTCGCACCCGTTCCTCCACACCACGTCACACTTCAGATGGGCGACTGTAGGACAGGCCGTTCAAATAAATGCAAGGTGTTAGCACTTGGTCCAGTGGTCAGGAAGCCTGCGTCCCACATGACAGCGCCTGGGCTGGAGGTTCAGCTCCGGCTCCTGATTGAGCTTCCTGCAGGAGGAAACCCTGCGAGATGGTGCTGACAGGCCAATGGACAGGGTCCCGCCACTCACGTGGGAGGCCTAGACTGTGTTGTAGGCATTTTGGGGAGTGAACCAGGAGACAGAACATCCCTATCTCTGTATGTAATCCTCCCAAATAAATTAAAATGGTTTCATTAAAAAAATAAGAGTTAACACTTAAAAAAAGAGAGGCCGGGGTTACAGTGCAGTGGATAAAGACAGCATGCTGGGCCCGGCGCGGTGGCGCAAGTGGTTAAGGTCCTCGCCTAGCACGCCTGGGATCCCATATGGGCGCCGGTTCTAATCCCGGCAGCCCTGCTTCCCTTCCAGCTCCCTGCTTGTGGCCCGGGAAAGCAGTGGAGGACGGCCCAAAGCTTTGGGACCCTGCACCCGCGTGGGAGACCCGGAAGAGGCTCCTGGCTTCGGATCGGCATAGTATCGGCCCGTTGCACTCATTTGGGGAGTGAAACATCGGACGGAAGATCTTCCTCTCTGTCTCTCCTCTCTGTATATCCGTCTTTCCAATAAAAACATAATAAAAATAAATCTTTAAAAAAAAAAAAAAAGACAGCATGCTACACCGAGTTCCGGTTGTTGAGCACCCTGCTGCTCCACTTCCCGCCCAGCCTCCCTCTGAGGCACGCGGGTGGCAGGGGGCCAAGGACTTGACTCGTCATTCACTGCCTAACAGGTGTGATGGCAAAGCAGAGCAGCTGGGACTCCAACACAGGATGCTGCTGCCACAAGTGAAGGCTTACTCCTGCTGTGCCACAGTACCAATGCTGCCCCTTCCTACCCTGTGGTGAAACACGCCAGCATGACCGCAGAGGACTGAAGCCCATGCCCCAGTGCCCACGGTTGACCTATCCTGTTTTCAATTCCAGCTGCTTGCTCACGTGCCTCCTGGGAAGCGGCAGAGGAGGGCACGAGTGCCTGGGTCCCTCCCACCCATGTTGGAGACCCAGAGGGAATTCCCAGCTCCTGGCTCCTGGCTGCAGCCTGGCCCAACTCCCACTCCTGGGAGCATTTGAACCAACACGTGAAAGAACTCAGCCCATACTAGTTTCAGTCTCCATAATGGGGGGTGGGAACGCAAAAAGAAGGAAGGAAAAAAAGAAAAAAAAAAAGATACAAGAGGAGAGAAGAAAACCCCCTCAGCTCAAGGACTCTGGGCCTGAGGAAACAACTCTGGTCCCAGGGTCCACGCAGTGGCATAAAAGGCTCACCCTACACCTGCCAGTCCCAGCAGCCCATATGGGCGCCAGTGCACGTCTTGGCCGCTCCACTCCCCATCCGGCTCCCTGCTTGTGGCCTGGGAAAGCAGTCAAGGACGGCCCAAATCCTCGGACTCCTGCACTCATGCGGGAGACCCACAAGGAGCTTCCAGCTCCCAGCTTTGGAGCGGCCCAACTCTGGTCACTGCAGCCGTTCTGGAGAGTTGAACCAGCAGATCCAAGATCTTTGTCTCTCCCTCTTTCTCTCTGTAACTTTCACTTTCTGAGTAAAATAAATAAATTTCTTTGTAAAGAAAGAGAAAGGCAGCCTGTCCATGGGCTCCACGGGGTCCACTCACCAATGAGCATGGATTCCCTCTGGTACTCCTGAGTGAGGTGGGAACGCTGGGTCACGCAGTACACGTATCTCTCCAAGACATACCAGCACATCTCATAGTAGAACGGGTAACGGAACTTAGGCTGCACCTGCAAGCAGAGGCCAGGTCAGTCTCGGGGCAGCAAGCAGAGGAGGCAGGGAAGTGGGGAGAGGGTCATTTTCATTGTCTTGGCAGGAGCACAGATGACAGCAGGGAGAAATGGTGTGGGGGCAGCACTGGAGCGGAGGCAGGAGGAAGACGCTGGCGGGTGGGAATGCCGGAAGCATGCACGGATGCAGCGAAAAGGGCGAGGGGAGAGCATCCCTTCACAGGCCGCTAGGCAGCCAGACCAGGCCCATGCTCCTGTGAGAGGCAGAGAAACCGGAGGCCTCCCCTGACTCACGAGGACCTACGGATGGGGCCACACCACCCGAGTCCAGCCCAGCACATCGGCTCCCTGCACTTCCTAAAAATTCTTGCCCACACTTGGCTACTCTCCGTGCCCTTCAGGAACCAGAAATCAACTCCCAAGCCTCACCACTTGCTGACGGGCCACAGGGCACCTGCCTACCCACAGGAGTGAGGCCTCGCGGATCCCCCTCCTGGCATCCCAGTCCTTCTCCCCCACTACTGCTGGGCAATGCCCACCTCTCCAGCCAAGACACCATGTTCCCACCATGGCCCAAAACTGTCCTGACACTCCAGCCTGGAGGGTCTACACAGAAATCCTCTTGGGAAGGAAAAGAAGGTGCAGACGGCTTTCAGAATTACAGTTGCCCAGTGGCGTGGGCCCAGAGGCTCCGGATACGGGGGAGTGCAGGGTCCAGACAAAGAGAAAGCAACCAAGGAGGAGAGAAAAGGGGCACGTTGGAAGGCCTGGGCACTGAGGAACCATCCAGAAACTGTACCCCGAGTGGGCAAGGGGGAGTGACAGTGTGCAAGGACGGCCCCTGCCTCCTCTGCTGCAGAGACCCCACGAGGCTCCACGCGCCCACACTCACAGCTGCAGGGAGAAGGCACGAGACTGGGAGCTGGGTACACAAACTCCCAATCCCCCGGCTGCCCTGCTGTTTCCTCCAAAGAACAGGGCACAAAGACAAGCACAGACGGATCTAGGGCCTCTGCCTGCCTGAAGTCATGAGCTCCTTCCAGCCACCTCCAAGTAGCTCCTGTGCTCCCACCACTAGAGTCCAGCTCTCCGGCCACTGCAGCTTGGTTTCCAGTTACAGCCCACCACGGGGGGCTTCGCTCCTCCCAGCTGCAGGATGGGTCCCCTGCACTTTCCCTGCCCCCAGGGCAAGGATGGAAGGCTGTGGGATGAGAACGAGGCAGCCACATGCTTTTCAGCTCCCGGGCTGGGTGAGATGAACGGAGTTGAGATCACCACCGAGCGGTTTCCTTGGCTCCAGCCACGTGGCTGAGAGGACTCGTTTCTCTGGTGGGAGAGAGTGAGGCTACATCTGTTTTCACAGTGCTAGATGGGTGCGCTCTGGAGTTCGAAAAAGAAGAGTACTCCCCAGCAAGCAGCACACCTGCTTAGGGACAGGGTCCTCCAGCCCAGCCGTACTCCAGAGCAGGGGACAGTTTTGAGACTAATACTCCCTGAAATAGAGGCTGAGGTCAAGCCGACCCTGAGTCACATCTGAGCCACCCGACAAAATCCCCAGGTCTGGGCACCGCCGCTGTGCCACTCACAGGCCCCATCCCCCTTGGGGATCTACTGGGCAGGGGAACCCCCCTTTCAGGAGAAGGCAGGCCCCCCACTTTGTTGCTGAATCCAAGAGAAACCAGCTGGGTGACCACAAATGCTGATGAAGGAATTCCAATGCTTTAAATTTTGTCTTTTTTTTTTTTTTCCAAGAGAGGAAGGACTACAGGAGACAAAATTTGCAAAGAGGTGACTTACAAATGAGTTGCTGCCTTCCACCCTTCGCCTTCAAAAGCTTCCAGCCACATGCCTGGGAACATTAAACACATGATTGCTCAACATGACTTGTTGACAAATTTGGAGCCACACTGAGCTGTTTGTTAGTCAGTCTGGGCGACCGGCAGGGAAGTGACTGAGCAAGCCAGGCTCCAGGCCTGGAGGATGAGTGTCAGCTCAAATGCTCCCTCAGAGATCCATGGCTCGGGCCAGGGGCACCCTTACTTGGAGGGCCCGACTCCATGTCCAGCCCCAGTGGCCTCAGGAGACTGGACCTAAAGGTGTCTGAGAGCACCAAGAAAGAAGTCCCAGGTCTCAAGCATCTGCAGCATAAACATATGAGCATGGTGGAAGTCTCAGAAATTTTGTTTTTCTCCTGGAAAAAAAAAAAAAGCAATGGGGGTGAGGAAAGAAAAAACATCCAGTGAGTGGCAGGGGGGAAAGGGCCGCTGGCTGTGGAAGAGCGGGGTGAGCAGGGTTACCTCTCCAGGGAGGCTGCGTTCACGGAGCCACGGGGATGGGGAGGAGAGAGAGAAACGGGAGAGATTGGTGAGTGAATGCAGCTCCCTGCCCCTCACTGAGCCAAGCGGGGTCAGAAGCGTGCAGCGGAGCCCAGTGTATCGGCTCAGTTAGTTAATCCTCCCCTTGCAAGCGGCCCCACTTCCCGCTCAGCTCCCTGCTTGTGGCAGAGGACGGCCCAAGGCCTTGGGACCCTGCACCCATGCGGGAGACCCACAGAATCTCCTGGCTGCTTGCTTCAGATCAGCTTAGTTCCAGCTGCTGCGTCCGTCTGGGGACTAAAACAGTGGATGGAAGACCTTTTTCTCCATCTTTCTGCAAATCTGCCTTTCCAATAAAAATGAATCTTAAAAAGAAGAAGAAGGAGAGGAAGCATGCAGCGCCTGGGGAACCATCCCTGCCAAAGCTTAAGCACACCGCACGTTAGCTTTTGGGGGAGTCTCCCCTCCCTCACAGGCCCGCAGGTTTGTAAGGGAGAGAGGGGGGACTGCATCGGCACAGAGGTGGCAGCAGAAACCCTGCAGTCCCCCGTCGCAAGCTGTGGGCAGCGACACTGCGAGGGGAGGTCACCTACTATTTGTTCTAGGAAAATAAAAGAGGCGGAGCAAGACATGGCTTCCTTTATAAACACAGGAGACCCCAGACTGCACAGGGGCTTCCCCCACCCCCTGCAGCTCCTTTTTGTTTTTTTCTCTCACTTTTTAAAGGTTTAATTATTTTCATTGGAAAGTCAGATATAAAGAGAAGAGCAGAGACAGAGAAATATTTTCCGTTCGTTGATTCACTCCCCAAGAGGCTGTAATAGCCAGAGCTGTGCTGATCTGAAGCCAGGAGCCAGGAGCCTCTTCCACAGGGGTACGGGGTCCAAAGGCTTTGGGCTGTCCTCCAGGACACTAGCGGGGAGCTGGTTGGGAAGCAAGGCTCCTGGGATTAGAATCGGCACCCATATGGGATCCCGGCCAAGTGCAAGGTGAGGACTTTAGCTGCTAGGCCGTGCCGGGTCCACAGCTGCTTTTTCTAAGACAAACCCATACCACAGGGCTTGGAGACTGAGTTTGCCTCGTTGCAGGCCCTGCATTGGTTTCCAAGCAAAGCCACGCTTTAGGACTCTTTCAAAGCTCTTTAATGGCTGTATCCTCTTGAAGAAAGGACGCAGGAATGTGCAGAATTAAGCTGCTGAACGCTGACCAGGAGCCCTGACATTTTATCTGGCTTCCAGTGCTCACTCATGCCCCAGCGCTGTTCATCCGCCCTCGCTCCTATGACAGGAATAATTTGGCCTCTTGGCCAAGCCCCTCTATCAAAGACCACAAATCAAAGCAGATTAAGCAGTCTGCCACTGCTTCCAGCCCAGCCTGCCCACACCGGCTGCCCAGCCATCAACCTACTTCCGGGAAACCAGATGGGGTGCCCTCTGAGACAACAGGGATAGTGGCTTTGGGGAAGCTGGGCTCCTGACGGGTGATGGGGCCTGGATCAGGGTTTTGGGGGTGGGGGTGGGGACGGCTTCCCCACAAGGCACCTCTGGAAACAGCAGCTGGACTCTGGCTTTCAGGAATTGCCTGGAGTCACAGACCCGACACCTTCCTGCAGAGTTCTCCATCCATCCCACAGCTGCTGTCTGCTCCCAGACAGACCTTACTGTTCTTCAAGGCTGGCCAGAGCACAGCCTGCTGGAGCTCCACGGGTGAGGACTCAAGCCAGGCCGTGGGATGACAACCATGCCCTAACGGTGCGTTTCCCCTGAATGCCACAGGGCAGCACTTGCCTGATCGGGCCTGGGCTGGCCTTCACTGTGCCAGCAAGGTGGAGTGGAGAGTGGGCAAGGGGACCAGGCCCACACAGCTGGGTCTCTCCAGCTAGGGACATCGGAAACAATAACCGACAAGTTATACACACACCCCTAAATAGCTCACCCAATGGCCGGGGAAAGCTCCAAGCAGCCTAGGAGCCCCCTGGCCAAGGATCCCCGGTGCTGGGACTGTTAAAAGGCTGAGATTGGGCCCAGTGCAGTAGCCTAGTGACTAAAGTCCTCGCCTTGCATGTGCCAAAATTCCATAAGAGCACCGGTTCTAATCCTGGCTGCTCTATTTACCATCCAGCTCCCTGCTTGTGGCCTGGAAAAAGAGTAGAGAATGGCCTTGGGACCCTGTACCACATGGGAGGCCTGGAAGAAGCCCCTGGCTCATTGTGTTCACTTGGGGAGTGAACCAGCAGATGGAAGATCTTTCTCTCTAAATCTGACTTTCCAATATAAGTAAATAAATCTTCAAAAAAATTTTTTGAGGGGGTGAAATTGACATGCAGTGGTTGGCTGATACCGATTCCCTTATATGATTCCATGCGAACCAAGACCCAAAAAGAAGACCCGGAGGGACAGGGATCCGACACTGGACAGCTGTCCCTGTGAGGTACTGCGTTAGGACTCAGGCTCGTCTCTGAAGCAAAGCCCACGAAGAAAGGGTAAGGTCTTTCCATACAAATACCATTCAGCCACAAAAACAATGAACTCCCAAACCACGATGGTGTGTGCGGAGACCAGACACAAAGCCCACACTTGCACTGATGGCCAAGATCCAGAACCATCCATAGGGACAGAAAGAGGATTAGTGGCTGTCAGGGCTGGAGGGACAGGGGCTGCAGACTGGAGAGCAACTGCCTGGACTTTTTAAAGTGATAAAAATGGTTCTGAAATAAGGGGCACGCAAACCCTGAACCATGCACTTTAAATGCCGTACTTTACTTTAGTGTTTGGGAAAGATAGCTAAAACATTTTTTTTTTAAACTAGAGAATTAACATTTCAATAGCCACGTTTAACAAAGAGCAAGAAACACGCCCTCTTGGCCCCAAGGCTCTGGCCTCCGGTCCCAAACCGGGTCCCAGCATGGGAGACAGGGACGTGAGCTCGGAGCCACAGTGCTTTTCAAGAGGAATCTGTGGGCAGGAGGGCACACGCCCCAGGTCTGAGGCTCAGCCTGGGCATGGGGGCGGAGGAAACCCAATGCGTTAGAAGCCAACAGGCTACCAAGGGTGCAGATGGGGGACAACACCCAGACAAACAGGACCCAGGGGCCTGACATGCACAGCCTTTCCAGAGTGGCGGGACAGGGGTGAGCCACCCGATTCGGGGAGTTTCCAGAACACTGGGCCAGGGCCTGACCTCAGGTCAGGAGACCCCCTTGCCAAGGCATCAACACTCCCCCAATGTCGGCACACCCTGCTACCGGCCACCGCCATCCCCCAGTGCTCTGTCCACGCAAACACTTCCTCATTAATAAGGGGGTGTTGGCTGCCACCTGCCTGGAGGTGACAGTGGGAGGCTGGGGTGAGGCTAGGGGTGGGAAAGAAGGAGAATTATCAAGGATTCCAGGAAGGCCCACCCCCTACACCCGCTGCGCCTCCTTACCCGGGTCCTGTCTTCAATTTCGTAGATCCGGAGCTGCATGGGCACGTTAAAGCTGTGCAGGATGTTCCCTCCAAACACCAGGGAGTCTACGGGCGTGTAGACCGCATGGATCCAACCTGGAGGGGAGGGAAGGTGGACAGAGGATGAGCTGCAGGACCACTGGGGCGGGGTGTGGGTGCCCTCCCCTCCTCCAGGCTGTAGGTGGGGCACCTCAGGCACACAGCAGAGGGTGAGGCCAGGAGAGCACCCAGAACCCAGAGTACCAAGTCTCAGGGGCCCAAAGCCAGCGAGGCTAACTCGAGTCAGGGGTGGGAAGCTGCAAACCAGCCATGCCCCTGGAGAACTTGAACGTAGGCTTTCCTTCTCAGGACCCCTCTGCTGTAGCCAACCAAGAGGCAGGCAGCTTCTGGTCCCCACGACTGTGTTGGCCAGAGAGCTGGCCACGCCCTCCCAGGCTGCGCAGGCAACAGTGGAGCAAGTGCCTGTGACAAAGGAGGGGCCAGGCATTCTCCTCCGCCCCGTCCGCCCAACAGTCCAAACGCTCCCAGCCGTCTTTCCAGGTGGCCTTCTTTTTTTTTTTTTAAGATTTATTTTTATTATTTTTTTCTTGGAAAGGCGGATATACAGAGAGGATAGACAGAGAGGAAGATCCTCCGTCCGATAACTCACTCCCCAAGTGAGAGCAACGGTCGATGCCATGCCGATCTGACGCCACCGTACCGGGCCCTCCAGGTGGCTTTCTTAAACACACGCTGCCTGCACTCCACCTCGCCTCTCTTCAGCTGTCCCCTACAGGCCCGCTGGCCGCTGACCGGCCTCTCTCCTGCAGGCCCTGGCTTCTCTTCTCCCTGGTCAGCACAGGGATCATGACAAAGGTAGTGAACTGCCACCCACCTGGCGCGTGCCACACCTTGGCTCATCCATTCTCACAAAAAGTAAAGGAAACCCCACTGTCAATCCCAGCTCACCACAAGCACACTGAGCGACAGAAGTGGCCACATCACCTGGAAGTCCATGTCTGCTTGGCAGGTGAAGGTCCGACACAAAGGAAGCCGCCAGACTCAGCCAGGGCTGAGAATCCTTTGCCAATGTGCTTGCGGCCAGATTTCAGAGCATGGACTTTGCTCTGGTTAGGATTTGGTTTATTTGAAAGGCAGAGTTACACAGGAAGAAATAGAGATCTTCCATAGGCTGGCTCAGTACCCCAGATGGCCACAACAGCCTCGGCTGGGCCAGGCTGAAGCCAGGAGCCAGGAGCTTCACCAGGGTCTCCCCACATGCGTATAGAAGCCCAACGTTGTAGGCCATTTTCAGCTGTTTTCCCAGGCCATAAAGGACTGTACAGGAAGTAGACCAGCCAGCACTTGATGCTGGGGTTGCAGGCAGTGGCTTAACTCGCTACCCCTCAGTGTCAGCACTTGGAGTTCACTGACTTTTTTTTTTTTAATTTTGCTTTGTTTTGAATATTGGCACAGACTTCGCCAGTTGGGCATCCCCCCTCCCTACCTGAAAATCCAAAATGCCCCAAAACCTGAACCTTTGACCACAAATGTTCATAAAGTTTCAGATTTCAGAATTAGGGAGACTCAGCCTGGACCACATCCCAGCGCAGACGGGTCATACTGCAAGTGCTCCGGGGACCTAGGAGCAGCTCCTGGCGCCAGAGTGGACGGCACAGAGCCAGCGGTTAGGTAGCTCTATAATCAGCTCCAATTTACGGAGGCCGAGGCTGCAGCTCGGGAGAGGAACGCGGCTCGCATAATGAAGTCACAGCTGGCAAGAGGCACCGCTCTGTTTCTAGCCACTGCTTGCACTGCATCTAAGGCATAGCAAGAGCCCGCCAAGCCCATGGTGCAGGCCTGGAAACCAACAGGGGATGTGGAAAGAGAAGCATGGCATGGAGCTCAAAGCAGGCCAGAGACAGGCACGGCAAAAGGCAGGGGACCAGCTACAGAAAGTGAGAAAAGCAAGGACAGCAGTGACCCGAGCCATGAAAAAAGACCAGGACTCGGCTCCAGCCAGAATGCCTGATTCTGCTAACGGACACACTTCCGAGCCCCAACCCACCTCTCTTTGTCATCTTCCCCGAGGAGTGCTGGCTCCAAGTCAGGGGTGGCCACTGCTGCTGGTGCTTGGGGGGCAGCGAGAGCAGCAGCATCCCCAGTGATGCCCCTTCCCGGGACTCCAGCTTGCCCCTGCAGAAGTAGCTGCTACATAGGCTTGGGGTGCCTCTGCAGGGCACCCTGCAGCTACCTGGGCCGCCTTCCTCCCTCCTTCTGCCCTCTGTGCAGAACAGGCAGCTGCACCTTGAAAGGGTCTTGTGCTAACCATGCCCACTCCCCCACACCAATCCCAGTTGATCATCTCATCACTGACATTACTCTTTCTACCAGACAGAATTACCTAACCTGTGGCCATCAGCCTTACTCCTGGAAGGGTGGGGCCCAGGACCTGCTAGGTCACGGGGTGCAGGTGCCTGAAGGGTCAGACCCTCCAATCCCCCAGCGCTGGCCATCACAGGACCTGCAGCAGTGACAGGTAAGAAATGGAAGCAAAGCCAATGGTGCCCTCTGCCCCAGCGGGCACATGGGTGGAGAACTGGTTAAGAGCAGTCACCCTTGCTATCAGAGGCGGCCTCGCGGATGGTAGGGGCTCTGGAGGAGGAAGGCGCTCAGGGAAAACATATAGTCTCCAGCCCCGACCCCTCCCCGCAATCCTGACAGGTGGACAGGCAGACACGCCGGACTTCCATCTGTCGCCCTGATGCGGGAACACAGCAAAACAGAGGAGAGTTGCTGATGCAAATGGAGGGGTGGGGGAGACAGGGGCTCCCCTCCTTCCAACCCAAGGCCTTTTGGGCAGCTCCCAGCAGCAAAGCAGCTCCAAGTGCCTGCCCGAGCCCTGCTTGCCATGGCTCTACCCTCGGGGAGAGGAAGTCACCGCCTACCGCATCCCTAGGTCTCAACCGTACCGAGCCTCCAGCCAGCGTCTACTTCCAGGAAACACAGGAGCAGGTGTCCCCAGCTGGCAACTGGGCAGGGGAGGCTGGCACCTGCCGCCTCTGCTTCCAGGCCAGAGTCATCAACAGCAGAAGGCAATAAACAGAGGCTATTCAGGCCAGGCGGCCAGGGACAGATGCAGACACGGATGGAAAGCGGCGTGACCCACAAAGCCTCCTGAAGGGGTGGGGTAGGTGTCCTCTAGGACCTCCACAAGGGCTGCGGAGGACACTGGGGGTACATGGAGTCCCACCCACAGCCCCCAGGCTCTGCCACCTTTGTCCAGAATGCCACTTCTCCTAGTCGCCACCTTTGTGGCTGCTGTAGGGACAATGCCAAAGTCATGAAACTCAGGAGCACCCCACTGTTGATGAATGCCCCTATGCTGGGGCCAGGCCCTGCCTCCCACCCAGGGACCTCACGGCTGGCACCAGGGGCTGAATCTGAACAAAAGCAAACGTGGGCTGCCACAGGCCCGGGGGGGCGATTTATGTTTGCTCCACACTACAAACACAGGGAAGCCACACTACAAACACAGGGAAGCCACATATGACAGTCAGAATCTTCAGAACTGAAGTAGTAACATACCAGGTTTCATTCTCTCACTGGCTCAACCCAAGCAGTAACTGCTTTCCACAGCCTCACACTTCTGCCTATTATTCTCTGCACCCATTTCACAGATGGCTCCTTTGAGGCCCAGGGAGGTTATACCATGAAGGAGCTCCTGCTTCCGATTGGCCAGCATCTGAGAAACACCATGGGCCATCAGGACGGGTAGGGCGTTGGATGATCCTTACTACACGAGACGCACATTCAGCACAGCCCAAGTCCCTGACCCCAGGGCACTTCTCCAGCAGTGACTCACAAGGTGCTCAGGCTGGGCCCCGTCTTCCTGCCACCTGGATGGACCTGCACTTGGGAGGGGGCAGCGTGCCGTGTGTCCATCCCCGCCGCTCTGCCCAGCAGCTGAGGGGCCCTTGAGGAAGCTTGCATCCCAGAGTCCCATGGCTAAGATCGGGGACCAGGTGCTAGTCTCCTATCCCTGGGGAATTGCCAAGCCAGGCACACTTGGCACCCCACTGCCTCTGTCATTTACCAACTACGGGATCTTGGGTCTCAGGTAGCTTCTCTATTAAACAGTAAAAAAGGTGACAGCACAGGAAATGCTTCCATGCTCAGAACTATTAGTTAAACCACACCTGGACCGAGCTCTCGAATGTCGTTAAGACTCGGTGGGTTAGGCTGCAGGTGAACAATGCCGCCTGGTTGCTCTGGGTGCTGTCTGGGGATGACCTTGGCCCCAAGCTGTCCTGACTCCAGGGCCATCAGACTGCAACTCAGTCACATCATAAAACTCCAGGTTCCTCACTTCCTGTCCCTCACACTGGGCCCAGCAGTACAAAATGCAACCAAGCCTCTCTCCAAGTCGTCCTACACCTCGGTCCCCTTCCAAGTCTTCCTCCTCCTCCTCCAGGCAGCTCTCCTGGCTGAAGAAGACCCAGGAAGCACTGTGGATACCAGTCCCATCACCTGCAGCCATGGGCAGAGAAGGCCAGCTTATCCTGTGGGACTCCTGAGAGCTTCCAGCAGGGATGAGAGATGGAGAGACTTGCAGCCAGTACAGGGACCTAGAGTCACACTGTGGGGAGGAAGGCCCAGCTCTGAGGTAGAAAATACCAGAAGAATATTCCCAGCTTCAGGGTCCTTCCTAAACTCCTCCCCGCCCCCCAAGGCTTCCTCTCCACCCAAAGCCAGAAGCTGACCACCGCTCACCTGGGCTTTGGTCAGCTGGGCGGTGGTCCACCCGGCTCAGAGACAATCCCAGGCCCTCAGAAGGACCTAAATTTTTCATCATGATTGTGAATGCCAAAGCCCAAGCCTGTAGTTTTCACTGTGCTCACAGAGTGATAGATTGAAATAAAAAAGTGTACATTTTCATAAAGTCAACCCTGACATTTAGGAAACCGAGCATAGACAGCACGCCGTGCCCAGGTGTTCCACATCGGTGGATTTTATCGATCAAGGATCAGAAACATCAGGGTAAGCGGTTGTGTCAGGCTGGGTGTTTGGTGCAGTATTTAGGCTACTGCTTCAGAAGCCTCTGGCCTATACTGAGGTGCCAGGGTCATGTCCCGACCACTGCCCACTGCACTTTTGGTCTAGCTTCCTGCTGGTGCACAGAGTCCCAAGGCTTCGGGCCGTCCTCGACTGCTTTCCCAGGCCACAGTCAGGGAGCTGGATGGGAAGTGAAGCTGCCGGGATTAGAACCGGTGCTCATATGGGATCCCGGTGTGTTCAAGGCAAGGACTTTAGCCGCTAGGCCACAGTGCTGGGCCCTAAAGAAATAAATCATAAAAAAAAAAGTCGAGCTTCCTGTCCATGTGCACCCTGGGAGGCAGCAGGTGACGGTCCAGAACTTGGGTCCCTGTCACCCACAGGACAGACCCGAGCTCTGGGCTCCTGGCTTCTGCCTGGTCCAGCCTTGGGGGAAGTAAACCAACAGGTAGAAGATCTCTGCCTGTCTGTCTCTAGACCTCTCTGCTTTTAAACAAAATAAATACATCAAACATTTTTCATAAACAACAATCTTGGAGCCAATACTGTGATGCAGTGGCACCAGCATCTCATATGGCCACCATCTGGAAGCTCTACTTCCCATCTAATTATCTGCTAATGGCCTGGGAAAGCAGCAGAAGATGGTCCAAGTCCTTAGGACCCTGCACCCACATGGGACACCCAGAAGAAGCTCCTGGCCCCTGGATTCAGCCTTTCCTACGACAAAATAAAATAATCTTAAAAACAAAGTCAACCATGAAAAACCAAACTACGACAATCTTTTTTTTTTCCCCCTGAAATACACGTAACAGTTCTGCCTAGCATGTTTCCGTAACGTAGCTGAAGATGAATCTCCTTGACCACTAGGTCGCAGCCCACGTCCACCAATGATGCCAGCAGTCACCTCACCAAAAAGGCCTCTTAGTCTCCCAAGAACCACAGGCAGGCAGGTGTGAGTTTAACCTGTCATGGCCACCCCACCTTGGAAGCCTTACTCCCATTCTACAGATGAGAACACTGAGGCATACATAAAGAGGTTAAGCTGTGACTTCCAGAGAGGCTAGGGCACTGGGTCTTCCCTAGAACCTCCATCTCAAGAGGTGACTGCTGTGGTCCTCCCGCACATGTCCACAGAAGAAGTCCTGGGGGGACTGCCAACTCTACTGGGAGAGGCCCAAGATTTCCTGGGGGAGAGAGCATCCCAGCCTTGGCCAACTCCCCACAGGCACTGCCAACAGCCCCACGAAACCCTCACTTGGCCTGAAGTCCTGGTGGTGGCCACAGAGCCTGCCTGGGTGCTGCGGGCAGACGGAGTCCAGCGACAGCTGCGCACCCAGCCCCAGCAGGACCTACCGGAAGGGATGAAGAAGGTGTAACCCTGCTTCAGCTCAATCCTCTGGCATCGCTCCACGCGGTCTCCCAGGAAGATGTCGCTCTGCTTGCCCGAGAGCACCCACTCCTCATACAGGGCCAAGTTGTGCAGGGTCGGGGGGATCAGCCAGAAGATCTGGGGAGACAAGCACAGCAGTGGGTTGCATGTTGAGGCCAGGGCCAAAGAGACCAGCCCCACCCAGTGGGGTAAGGGGGGTACACAAGTGAGCCAACGTCACACAGAGCCCCCTCTGAGGCAGCGGTGGCAGGGCAATGCCTCCAGGCACCATTCTAACTGAGATGCCAGGGAGGAACACTCTTGCTCCTAAACCACAGACTTGCCTGGGAGAAGTAGAGAGAAGAGCAGGGCCTTTCCCAAGCTGTAGGATGAAATGATTCCATAAATCAACCCAGCCTGTGCTCACTTTGGAAAGTAAGAAAAACATCCGGAATCAAGTGGGCTGACTTCCTCCCAGAATCCATTCCAACACGTTCAGTTAAAACAGATGCGTTGGCAGACCCAGACACGTGGGGCAGCGGTCAGAGTTGTCGCCAGGAGTGCTCACACCTGCTCAGGGACACCTGTATCCCACTCTCACCCCCACTCCCGGGGAGGGACATGCACGCAAAGACATGTCCAAATCTACCCTCTGCTTGCTTTCTCAAAAGGGGGACCTCTATCCCAGGCATGAAATGCTCTTGGGGTCTTGCAGGCAGGCTGTGCTGGCCACTGGCCTCTCGAGTTAGAAGGAGTCGGAAAGCCAGGAGAAATGAATGGTAGAGGCTCCTGGCAACCAGAGGGGCCTACGGAGTTTAGCACACTGGCGCCAGCCAAGGCAATGGGATGAGCAAGAGAGCTGCTCTTAGCCTATGCCTTTAGGAAGAGACAGAGAGACGGAGCAGTTGTGGGGAGTCCCAGGGGATGGGGTGACCCTAAATCTGAAATACTACAGGGAAGGGGCTAGCTGGAGGTAGACGGTGGAGGAGAGCAGAAGCAAGAGGTAAGGTGGGGGAGAGCCCAACCCACATAGCCAGGAGAGATCAGGAAAGATGAAGACACACGAGACCAGCAGAACTCACCTTCCCACCTCGGAAAACATGGTACCAGACGGAAGTGCCACCAAAGTCAATGTGGAAATCAGTGAAACATCCTTTGACACTCATCAGACAGTACCTGCAGCACAAGGGTCAGGGCAGATAGGTCAACACCTGTGTCCCAGGGTGCAGCCAACCCTGCAGAGGCACCCAAATGCAGAGGCACTCTGAAAAAAAATGCTCTTTCTTTTATTAACTGAAACCACTCCCTCCCCTCCACCCCCCACACCAAACACACACATACACACACACACACACACACACACACACACACACACGTACTCGGGAGTAAATTACAGGCAAACGGGTACTGCAGTCAGAGGATGGGTCTCACGTAGCAGCTACCTGCCCCCAGAGGCTGTGGGCAGCATTTTTGCTTCCAGCCTAGTTTTTGCCCTTGCTCCGCCCCAGCCTTCAGAGCAAGAGGCATCCTTTCTGTTCCTGCACCTGCAGTTCCCTCAAGCTGCCAGCCCCTCTGGCAGAGGCTAGGCGGTCTGCAGTTTGGCCTGTCGACCATCAGTCCTCATTCATTCAACCACTGGTCCAGCCCTGAGCCATGGGTGGCATTGAGTGGAATGAAGAAGATGGCATAAAGACCCCTGTCCCTAAGGAGGTGCCACTCCAACAGGGCAACAGCACAGAGACTAAGCAACGTGATGAATGGTAAGTGGCTACCAGGTCAACATCATGGCTAACAGGACAAGAATGCCAGCGACAAAGGACCCCACGGTGTATGTTCCATGTGCAGAAACTGTCCAGAACAGGCACATCTGTCGAGATGGGGAGGACATGGGCAGATGGCCAAGGTGTACAAGGTGGGGGTGTGGGCAAGTGACTGCTAATGGTACAGGGCTTCATTCTGGGTGATGAAGAAATATTCCCAAAGAGACTGTGTGTGGTCGTATAACTCCATGAACACCCTACAAACTCCCGAATTGCATACTTCCAGTGGCTGAATGCTAAGTAAATTCACATTTCAATAAAGCTGCTGAAAAATTTTAGGAAGGTAAAAAGACTGAGAAGACCCTGAGGCCACCCGGGCAGGTGCAGAGCCCTCTGAGAACCTCACGGGGGATTGGGGTGGAAGGCACTTCAGCGAAAGAGCCCGCCAGAGGTGGCGGCTGTTCTTCCTCTGGGTGCCAGCAGATGTTGAACAGCACGCCCCTCCTGCAGGGACATGCTGGTCCCGGCTCCCCATCCCAGCCACTGCCTTCTTAAGGATGGGCAGAATGAAGGAGCAAGGGGTCACAGAGCAGGATTCCACATCCAGGCCTGGCAAACAAGGTGCCAGGGTCCCCCCTCCCTGCCAGGCACCCCTTCCCACAAGAGCCCCCAGGGCACCAGGGAGTGGGCAGCCTCCCCACCGCTCATGCCCATGCACCTTGACACCTCCGTGCCCACACACATATGCTTACCCCACTGACCTCTTTTCCCCCGCTGCACTTTGGTTTTCCGAGATTTGGGGGGGGAGAAGGAGGAGGAATGGGGCGGGGACGGGTAGGGAGGGGCCAGCAGCAAGCCCCAGTACAAATAACAGGGACGCTCGTGCAGCGCTGAGCTGGCTGGAAGGTGGGAGGGCTCCAGCAGGCCCCCCTCCCTCTGGCTGCCTTTTGCACCTCGCGTTCAGGTGGACTCGGCGCTAGGCAGTATGCAGGCGGCGTGCCCCGCGTCCCTCCTCCCGATAGGCTGGAAGGAGCCTTAGCCATGTGTCTGCAGGAGGCTGACAAATCAGAAGGCCTCCCCGTACATCAGAGCTCCGCTGCCTAGCAACCCCATCGGAGGGGTGTAGTTGACAGCACAGGACACAGGCTGTCACGAAGCTGGCACCTGGGTTGCTGAAGTCCCGACTCGGAGCTCCACGCCCTCCCTGCCCGCCAGTCCTGCGCAGCCCAGCCCCAGTCGGGGGGCCCCCGCCTGAGGCCTGGGGGGAGCCTCTTCTCTCCAGGGAACTGGAAGCAGCATGCGGAAGGAGGGCAGTGAGGGGAGGGAGGAGACCCTGAAGCCCTAACCCACCCCACCCCCGCAGACGGCATCTTCTCATTAAATAGCACTTCAAAATATTAGTCCTGGTTCTCGCGCGCACGCACACACACCCTTTTCTTCATTGTTGTGGCTTCTTTTCATTCTTTTTTATAATCTAGCCTTGATTTCCACCCCCTTCCGGGCCTGAGCTGAGCACAGTCGAGGGAAAACAACTTAAGTGCTTGTGGGGTGGAGCCTGGAGGACAAGCCTCTGGCTGCAGCCTGATGCCCACCGTGGATGGGCAGCAGGGAGGACCAAGCAGGGGGGAAGACTCCGGGGCTCGACTCAACTGGAAGGCCCTGCGGTCCCACTTCCATCCTACAGTCCCCGGCACCAGGCTCCCCTGGATCGCTGAGGCGCTGCCACTGCATGCAGGGAAAGTTCTCCAAGTTGAGATCCTCTGGGATCTGCCCAGCGGGTCATCCTGCAGCTGGCACAGAGGACCTCCCACCACCACCACTACTGCAGTTCCCCTGGCTGGCCCAGGAGCCCCCAGCCCTCTCTCCCCTGAAGAGCTTCCTCTTCCTAGTGTGGTTCATTTTCTGGCAGCAGGACCTAGGCCGCCCCTCCTGCCAGTCCCTCCCACCCCAGGCAGCCTAAGTATTGAGGCCCACCAGGATGGTTACGACAGGGTGAGCTTTCTCCTGGTCCCTGCAGCCAAAGACCACCCCTGGCTCCGGCAGGCCCTGACCTCGGGCCCTCCTTCCCGCTCACCCTGGCGTGACGCCTTTGCACTGACCTCTACAGCTTCCTCCTCCCAAACACACCGCAGTCACATGGGCACCGGCTCGGTGCCACGGCAGCCAAGCTCTCCCTGCTGCCGGCCGACAGCCGCGCTTCCGTCTCAGCTTCCGAGACCTCCGGCCCGAGAACACCGCACCCTTGACACCACCACCTCCCAACCCAGGTGGCTTCTGTGTAGGAGGGAACCCTCCAAGTTGGCGGCTGAGAATCAGGAGCCCAGGAGCGAAGCCCTTGGTGGTGGTGGTGGTGGTGGGGAGAGGGGATTCCCGCCCTGCACGGCCCCGACTGGCTACCAGGAGCGTGGTAGGAGGGGCTTTGCACCTGCAGCACCAACTTTGGGGGGACGCTGCCTCAACTTGGAGAAACTACCCCCTCCCTTCCCGGCGGATGGCTAGCGGGAGCGGGGCTGTAAGCTGGCACTAGAAGTAGGCAGCAGCGGCGCGCTCCACACTTGCACAAAGAGACGCCGGCAGTGCAGCCTGCGAGCCGGAGGCCACCCTCCCCCGCCCAGCGCGCCACAAAGGAGCGGGACGCAGCGCGGGGACCGCCCAGCAGCCCGCAGTTACCCTAGGCGGCGGCACGGTTCCCTGGCGTCCCTTCGGTGGCGGAGGTGGCCGTCCTCCACGGCGCTGCCAGGCCCTGGCTGAGGACGCTGGGGTGGCCCCCGCTCCCTGCCTTCTGTTCTCGAGGAGCCGGTTGCAGCCTGCGCTCATCCCAGTGCTGAAACTGAACACCGGTGCGGCACGGTGGCCGCCAGGGAGGCGGAGGGAGGCCACGGAAGCGACAAGGAAGCACCGGGCCAGCGCCAGGGGACGCCACAGTCGCCCACTCTCCTCGGACGCGTGAGGGCACCCGGACAGCATCCCCCACCCACCACCACCACGCTTGCTCCACCAGCTACGGCCCGAGGACCTTCCCTCCCGCGCTTTGCTAGTGCACTGATGCTGCTCCCCGTTGGGGTATAACCCAGCAAGGCATGTTCCTTAAACAAGCAGCAGTGGGGCCTGCTGTGACAGGGACCAGAGGGCTTGAGAGAGTGGTGGCCTGGAGATCCCAGAAACGCGCCTGGATTCAGAACCCAGAACCAGACAGGCTGTGTGATCTTGGGTGGCTTCCTGCTCCTCTCTGAGCTGTTCCCCATCCCCCCGTGGGGACCCTTGTAAAGGTTAAGGAGGTGACTCAGTTCAGTTCTGCCTTCTAATTTGCCGTTACTACCCTTTCCCCTATCCGTGGCTTAGTGGCTAGCCATAAACCCTACAGCACAGAACTGCTGTGAGAATGCACTGGGCTGAGTACCCATTAGCCAGACACTAGGGTATTTAGCATGGCAAGGCTAGTCCCAGGACTGTCCATTGTTCAGATAAGGAAGCGGAGGCTCCCAGCTTGCCCTCCCCACCCTGGTCACTAGTGTGGACTGAGACAGGACTTACCCAAGTAGCCTGTCCTATGGGTCTTTCAGCCCTTCTTCCGCCACTACTGCTGCTACCCGCAACAGGAGGGTTGCAGGCAAACCAGAAAGATTTCCGGCTGAAGGAAGGGATCCAGCTCAAATCAGAAGTTCCACCTTCGGGTCACAAGGGCCACCACCCACCTTCCACTCTGCCATGCCTTGCCCCCAAATCCACAAGCAGACGGGCGGGGGGGGGGGGGCAATGAGACTGCAGGGGCTCACAGCTGGCTTCTCCCACCTTTGGCCCAAAGTGGCCACAGGGCATCCCAGCTACCCAATTCTGAATCGATAACTGGTCAGCGAAGAACTGCTTCTGCCCTAGAGCAACCCAACCGCCCTCCTGGCGGGGACAAGCACACAAGGCGTGTCAAAGGGAGCGAGGGCCCAGCCAGGGTGCTGCTTCCTGGTGTCATTTATGGATGACACCAGCCCTGAGCACGTACATCCCCAGCGGCCTGTCCCCCACAGGAGACCATAAACTCTAGAGTTGCTTGACTTTCTTATGTGTGTCTGAGTGTTTGCTTATTTTAAAGACACATTAACTCAGGAAGGGGTCCTTTGTCACACTAATAAAATGGGCTGTGGGGCTCCGTGAGCTGGGAGTAGCCAAAGCCCTCTACAGGAAAGAACTCTCTTTTTAGTCACAAATACCTGGACTTCTAGAGGGCAAGGCCCATATCCGGATGGATTGTGAGGACAAAGCACTCAACCATACACTGAAAATGCCTGTGGGCGGCCGTGGAGCACCGCTGGACCACTCTCCTCTTCCTTCCATGGACTCGGCATCCTCACGGAGAACTAGCCAGGGTCTGCTCATTGGTTGCTGCACGGGTCAGGCCCCGCAGGTGCTGGCTTTGGCCAGCTCAGCCTTTCCACACGGAGCTTCTGAGGCCCTGCCAGGCCCTCCTAGAGCACCTCCAACGCTCCATTTCCCACACAGAACCACTATGACCTGATGAGCTGCTTTCCAACATGAAGACTTTTGGCACCTACCTCCAGAACTGCTGAGGGAGGCATGCCAAGCGTCTACGACGGCTGGCTCCATACAAGATGGGCACAAAGCATCCTGGCTTGCATTGCTTCTCCTTGGAAGAGGAAGAGAATGGCCAGGCAGCCAGAAGCCCAGGCTCTGGTGTGTGACCCGTGGCTTTCTGCCCGTTTGTCACTTTCTCCACCGTATCTATGACACGGGGATGAGTGTCCCGTGATGCCAACAGCCCCATAAGGACGTGAGGGAGGGTGGGTTGAGAAGCAGAAGGTGCCAAATGCCAGCGAGGCCAGATGGACAAACATCTTGTGCCATGTGTGGCTCACACCTCACACTTTGCACAGAAGGGAAGCAGGGCAGGGATGGCAGACCCATCCCAGGCCTCTAAAGAACGAGAAGGGGGTCTCCTCTGGGAATGGCCTGCCCAACGCAGTGCCCACCTGCACCCTCTGCACTGTTGCTCCTCCCGCTGACTCTTAGGAAGCATGGTAAGGAGCAGAAGACACTCAACTCTCGATTTTCTGGAGCCCAACAAATGCGCTAGGTTGGAACCTTCTTTGTGCTGGGCAGTTACCCTCCTTCACTCAGTTGTCAGATTTCGCCTGGCAAATCTCATTTCTGCAAAGCCTGCGAGCTACAGGAGCAAAGAAGGAGGAGGAAGGCAGGAGGTCTCCTCATCCCCTTCTAGAAAGTTCTACCATCCCTCACACGGCTCAATGAAAAGGGGCACACTCATCACATATCTAGGTGGACCTGGAGGCTTTCAGATGCACCCACAAATCCTTGGGTCACTCCTGCTACAGGAAGGGGAGCTCAGTCACTGTTCCCCTCAAGTACAGGCCGGACCTCCTAGATGACTTTTAATCTGCATACACAGAGTGACCTTCAAAATGAGGCACGGTGGCTTCCCCCTGGGTTTGTCATCGATCCCTTGCTTGGTCCTGTCCTGGGACACTCAGGAAGCCATACAAAGTAGTCCAAGCGGTAGACTCCTGCCAACCACCTGCTCGACACAGGCTCCTAGGAGACCCAGACCCGCACTGAGGCTCCAGCCACACACACTATTCCAGGGCTCCTGATATGCAGGAGCCGAGACAATGCTCCCCGTTTTAAGCTGCTAAAGGTTTTCTATGAAGCTTAGGATACACAGCAATCAACAAGTAAATCATAATCAGAATAGCAAATTCTACACGGCCAAAGGGATTATCCAGGGCAGGGCTCAAACCAGTGCCCATACGGATGCCAGCACTGTAGGAAGAAGCTTTACCTGCTATGCCCTGTAATACATATTTTCCGTGAAGATTTTGATGCAGATATTTGGCAGGAAAACGCAAAAAAAAAATCTGTTCATCCCAGTGTCCTCGAAACGTCAACATCTTGTGTCTCCCATGAACTTGCTCTGACTCCCTAGACTGTAATCACCATGCCCTGGCTTGAAAACGCCTACGCTCCTCCCACCCACTGACCAGAACCAATTCTGGAGCAGAGAGGACGTGGTCGTGTGTCTGCAGCACTTGACCTTCCTCCTGTCATGGCAAACGTGAGCCGCCATAAGCGGTCTCCACTGCGCAGGCGCCTGCGACATGGGGGCCCTGTGAGATCCAGGAGCAATGTGATTTTCATTAAATTCACACAAGTATTGTATGGTCCCCCAGGACCTCACCGTGCTCGGACCCTTCCAGATGAATGTGGGAGACCTTTTTAGACAAACAAATGGGACTATGTCCAAGGTTTCAGGCGGTGACCTTCCCACTGAGGTTCAAATCCTGGAATGAGTTTTTGTGGCTGCCGACAGGCTTTATAAATCTGTCTGCCACACAACTGAAGCAACGTGCCAGAAACACGTGGTATGGGGGGCGGGGGGGGGGGAAGAAAACCGTACGTGAGCCCTTTTGTTTCCTGGTAAATCAGACAGGATCCTAAGTGTATTAATAGCGCTTACTATTTCAAGGACTCTGAGAGCGAAGATGATACTGAGTATTTCTGTGAAGCAACACAGACATCAACTAATTGAAATCTGCGCCCCCTCCCATATGCTACTGCTTTAGTCCCAAATATGTCGTCCCCGTCCTTTCCCCGCCCCATTGTCACCGTCTGCCTGACCGCGCAGCAGCCTCTGCACAGCCACTCGGCCCCACCCCCTCCAACCCACCAGGCGGCAACAGAATTTGCAGAACGCAAACCTCAGCACGTCCCTCTCCACTTAAAATCTCAGGGGAAGAACAGTGAGTCAGGCCCCACAGCCTGCCCCCTCACCCTGAACCTGCTTTGGCAGACCCCCTCTCCCCGACCTAATACCTGGCCATCCCACGTCCTCCACACCCAGTCAGGGAAGCTTTTCCTGGTGTTCCCCACCCAAGAAGCCCCTAGCCCAGGGTGGGGGAACGGATGCCACCCCCGAGATCTAGGGCAACACAAGTCCTCTGGCCTGAGCTCCACAGCCCCACAGGCCTCTGCCTGGTGGCCTCATCGCAAGGGGGTTGGTATTGTCTTCCCCTGAACTGGAAGCTCCCTTCAGGGACAGAGCCTCATGTGGTTCTCTCTCTTAAGCTCCCCAGTGCTTGGCACCGGTTGGGCATTCCACGCTTAGCTGCTGAATGAATCTGTCATCAATAGCTCGATGGAGGGAGGGGCCCACGAGCGAACCTCTGCCCGGATCACCTCTGGGTTCCAGGCCCTTCTCCTTTCCTCCCTGATTCCTCCCCTCTCACTCTCCCTTGTTCCCCGCTCCTGGGAAAGGCTACCCCACCAGCCAGAAAGCCCCAGCTCCAGGGGGAGTGGCCTTCTGGCTTCCCCATCCCAAGGCTCTGTAATTGTGCTGGTTTCCAAGCAGAACAGACCCAAATGGACAACACAACCAGCAACCCTCCCTGGCCACCTTGAGCCCACCCTGTCTGTGAGATGGCCCAGATCCAGTGGGCAGGGGAGATAGGAAAGCTCTGGCTTTGGAGGGCAAGGAACAGGACTGCAAAGTAATCTGAGAGACTGCCTGAAAACAACACTCGGAGCGAGAGCCTTGACTGGCGTGCTGGCCTCGCTTACAAGGCCTGGCACACAGTCGCCACTCAATATGCACTGAATGAAGGGCCGAGTGAATGAGAAGTTCACAGCCTTGAAGCTCCTGGGGGCACTGCTGGCAGCGAGTCTCAGCACAGAGGATGCTAATGGACTTGAGGCTGCCAGCGCCAGCTCTTCGAGGAAGCCCAGAGCACCAGGCCTGAAAGCCAGTGTCTCCTTTCCTCTTTGGGGATACACAGAAGGGCTGAGAAGGTGGGAGTCCCGAAGGAGACTTCCTCTTCCTGAAGGGAACATGCATGCAGAGGCGGGCAGGTTCCCCCGCCCAGCTGAACAAAGCTGCAAGCTTCAGCGAGGATGTCTCTGCGATGACCTGGGCTTCCTCCTTTACCCAGGACCGACCTCCTGCTTGAAGAGTAACACTTAAGCTAGGACTGGCCAGGAGGAGGCCCTTGGCCTTTCACTGAGAGAGGTTGTACCGGAGGTCTCCGGGCTCAGCACCAGGGAGCAGGACAACTACACAGCCCTTCCTGTCCCTTGCCAGAAGCAAAGGATGGTGGGGCAGGTCCTTCTGAAAAGGCCCACTCTCAGAACAAGCAGTCATCATATGGAGGAAAGATGGATGTCTCACACACATGGGTGTGCGCGCACACACACACACACACACACACACACACACACACACACACACGTCTCCTGTCCCCTCTTGTCATCCTGCTGGGTGAGCAGGCCCACATCCCATTTCAGTGGAGAATCCTGGCATTCCAGACACCAACCTGCCCACACAAGCCCCTGTCCTACAGGTGCCAGCTGTGCCCAACAGGGCTGTGGCCCAGCTCAGCATTCAGCCCTCCACTTCCGATGAGGACAGCGGCCAGACAGCACTCAGACCAGCAGGGAGGGCCAGGGAGCCCCTTACGGTCTGCCCAGGGCTGTGGCCGCCCTCCCCAATCTCTCCTCTCCACTCCCCGCCTAGCCAAAGGGCCTCCCCAGAACCACACCCCCCTCAGCCCCCACCACTCTTGGCCAGGCACCCTACTTCTTCACTTTGGGGTACTTCATCTCTGCGATGGCATTCGTGGCTTCCGTCTGCTTCTCCTTCAGGTGCTGGGGCCACATGTTGTCCACCCAGTCCACCAGGTCCACCTGAAAACCAGGCTGCTGTCAGCACTTGCAGGCAAGACATCAACGCCACTCCCCCACAACATGCACCTTCACCCCGGGCAGTCTTCTGGGTGCCCTAAGCTGGGCCCCTAGCCACTCTTGTTGCTTCACTCTATAGTGGAACCACAACTCACCTTCTAGCTTCCCCTCCCGCCTCCCCGGGACAGCACGAGAGGAAAGCAAGGCTAAAGGACAGGTGTCAGGGGAAGGGCTTGCCCCCAGGACCTACCACGGTAGGACGCTTGACCAAATGCTCCAACTTGGTGTGGCTGAACTCGAGGCTGATGACGTTGTAGAGCTTGTCGCGCTGGGCCTCGGGGGTCTCGTAGTAGCGCACAAACTGGGACATGCTCATCTCCGTGCCTTTCTGGGTGTTCACGTCCATCACGTCCACCAGCCGCCGGCTCCCTGGAGGCAGAATCCACATGCAGCTTGTTCAAGCCGGCACCCATGCCCAGCTGTGCCCGTGTGTGCTTCAGCCCTGCTCAGTGTCTGCCCAATGACACGGACCTGGCAACTGCCCTTACCTGGTCTCTCCAACACCCGGCTGCTTCCCTCCACACAGCTATCCACCACTACTGCTCAATGAGACAGGCAAGGGTCATTGTGCCAAGAGGTCCCTGGCTGCACCTCCTACTCACCTGCCACACTGCTACCAGGACGAACTTTCTGAAACCCAAGAACCCCTTAGCACAGCGCTCCAGGCTTCTGTCCGCCAGGAATTTATCGCTGTAGAAAATGAGCTGCTTCACTGTCTCTCTCCCTTGTCTGAGACACCAGCAAAATTATCCGACTTCTCTGAGTCTCTAGGTCTTTATTGTGATCTCTGCTCTGACAAGCTGGTGGGGTTCACTCAGGACAACTGTGGAGAGTATGGGCATCGATGGATGAGTCACCCCTTGTTTTCTAGCCCTAGCCAAATCCCTAAGGTCCATACCTCTGGCGTCTACCTTGCTTTCTTCCGTGTGTTCTAGTGTTGTTTATTTGCCAGACAGAGTGATGGAAAGCAGGGGAGAGACACAGAGAGACGCTCTTCTGTCCACTGGCTCACTCCCCAGTTGGCTGCAACAGTCAAGGCTGGGCCAGGCCAAAGCCAAGAGCCTGGTACTCCACACACGTTTCTCCAAGTGAGAGTGGCAGGCCACCAGGACTTAAGCCACCCTCTCTCACTTTCCAAGGTACAGTAGCAGGAAGCTGGTCAGGAAGTGGAACAGTGGGTCTCCACCTGGTGCCCTTATCTAGGATGCTGGAGTTGCAGTGGCATCTTAACCCCTATGCCTCATTGCTGGCCTCCTCCCTACTGCTGTGTGAGCACAACAGGATCTCCACTGTCTTCCTCACTTCTCCATCCAACTATCTAAAGCAGACCTAGTACATGTGAAGACTTTCAAAAAGATTACAGAGGGCCTGGTGCAGTTGCCTAGTGGTGAAAATCCTCGCCTTGCATGCTCCAGGATCCCATATGGGTCCCGATTCGCGTCCCAGCAGCCCCACTTCCCATCTAGCTCCCTGCTTGTGGAATGGGAAATCAGTCAAGGATGGCCCAAAGCCTTGGGACCCTGTACCCGCATGGGAGACCAGGAAGAAGTTCCTGGCTCTTGGCTTCAGATCGACTCAACTCTGGCCATTGTGGCCCTGGGGCATAAACCAGCGAACAGAAGACCTTTCTCTCCGTCTCTCTGTATATCTTTTCAAGTCAGACTGGAGAGGATTTTAGCCGCTAGGCAATTGCAACCCCCCCTCAAAAAAATTTTTTTTAAAGAAAATTACAGAAAGTAAAATTAAAAGGTAACTTTATTTTGGTACAAAAACATTTTTTTAATCCCTACAGCTTTCTCCTAACACATTTCCCATGAATCATTTGAAGCCCCCTCACTGAGCCTTTGCTGAATGAGTGAGCAATGCACGTGGATGCCTCTCCCAGCACACGCCTTGTGGTCTCACGGGTGAAAGGCAAGTCACCAGAAGACGAGCTTCCCTCCTGCCTTAGCTCCCCCGTGAGGAAGGAACAGGGTCCAGACTGGCAGTCAGGGCCTCCAGCGCCTGGCCTCTGCAGAGCTTCCTCTGACCAGCCGACCCTTGAGCAGACGACAGCCTATTCTGGGACTCTGCTCCTCCGTGCAATGGGGGTAACCGTCTCTAGAACTTCAGCCAGGAAGGAAGGACCCAAGCTAAATCAAGTGCTGGAAAGAGAAGAAAACAGACTGACAAGGTCTGGGTTACTTTCCATGAAAGCTGACTCCTGCTGTGTGTATGAGTGAGGACAGCAGTGGGAAACCCACCACCTCATACAGAAAGATCCTGACTCCCCACTAACTCAGTGACAAACAGGCGTTCCATGGAGATTCAGAAAAACTCCAACAGCAACAACAAAAAAAAGGGAGGAAACCCAAAACCAAGAAACCCACCTTCACCTGATTCTCCCCTGTAAGTGGCTGGGACCCAAGCACTTGACCATCTTCCACTGCTTTCCGGTGTGCCTTGGTAGAGAGCTGGATTGAAAGTGAGCATCTGGGACCCTAACCAAGGCTCATATGAGATGCCTGTGGTTCAGGCAGCAGCTTAACTGGACCTACTGCAAGTCCAAATGTCAGGTCCACATAGAGCATGTCCCTGGCATCCAGCCAGGCCTCAGGGCTTTACAGATTCTCTGGAGCTGCTTCCTGCTACAATGGCAGATGCAACCAAGCCCAAGTGGCCCACAGAAAACCAACATACACCTTTGCTGGCTCTTCAAAAAGTGTACTCAGCCTTGTACCAGACACACTCTCAGTGCACTTGGGTACTGGCAGGTCCCCAGCTACGTGCCCAGCACATGGCACAGAACCTGCCTGCTAACAGGCGCAGGGTCAATATTTGATGAATAAATAAACACAGTGCCTTCCCCAGAGGAACTGAATAATCTAAGTAACCATTGAGTATGTGTGTGTGAGAGAGATATCTTGGGGCATTTTCATTGGTTGGGCCCAAAAGGTAATTTTCGCCACAACCCTGGGAGGCAAGTAGGGCTCTCTGTTTTCTGAATGAGAAAACCAAAACACCAGCTCCCCAAAGCCTCTCTGCCTCTCCACCCTAACCATTATACTCACTGGATGTGCCAACACAGGTCACCTCTTGACACAGCATTCTTATCTCAAAAGCTGAACATCACAGGCAAGACATTACACCTCTGATCAGTGCAGTTCAAGTTCCAACTGCTGCTCTTCTCACTCAGCGCTCTGCTAACACACCTGTGACGCAGTGGAAGATGGCCCAAGGACCTGTGCTCCTGCCACTCATGTGGGAGACCCAGATGGAGTTCCAGCTTCCTGGATCTGGTCTGGCCCAGCCCCAGATGACGCAGATATTTAGGGTGTAAATGAGCAGATCTGTTTCTCCTTCTCTCTATAACTGAAGAAAAGCTTGTTTTGTTTTTTTTTTTTTTGAAAGATTTATTTTTATTATTTTTTTCTTGGAAAGGCAGATATACAGAGAGGAGAGACAGAGAGGAAGATCTTCCGTCCGATGATTCACTCCCCAAGTGAGCGCAACGGCCGATACTATGCCGATCCAAAGCCAGGAGCCTCTTCCGGGTCTCCCACACAGGTGCAGGGTCCCAAAGCTTTGGGCCGTCCTTGACTGCTTTCCCAGGCCACAGGCAGGGAGCTGGAAGGGAAGCGGGGCCGCCGGGATAGAACCGGCGCCCATATGGGATCCCGGGCATGCAAGGCAAGGACCTTAACCACTGCGCCACCGCGCCGGGCCCAGAAAAGCTTGTTTTTAAGAAATCCACTTCAATTATACTCATGTGACATTTACCGAACAGCAGATCTGAGATTTGATGCCAATACAGTCAAATGCCAGAACCTAGTTCTTAACCTATCCGTTACAATATGGAATCCTGATCATACGCCCCCCCTAAGGCAGAAAAGCAGATCTAGCCTTGAGGGCCTGCCTCAACACCACAACATGAGAACCTGAGCCCCTCCCCAGGTTTTGAGTTGCACCAGGGTGCAGCTCCACCAGGGGGCAGCCCCAGCCCTTGCTGGAAATTCTGCCTATGCTGGGGATGGTGCTGGCTTCTCCAGCTCTGCTGTTTGTCAGGAGCCCCGCTTAGCAAAGAAACTGCTGCTGCAGCCCTCAAGCCCTGCCCCATCTCTAGCCACTCGCCCACCTCTGGCTTCCTCCTTTCTCTAACCTTGCTCAAATTCAAAACCAAGAGAATTTTATGGTCAGGTAAGAAATGGGATAAGGGACACAGGAATCACTGCCCAGAGGCTCCGTGTGTCGGCACTGAGAGCTTGCACACGACATAATTTAAGCCAAGATATTGTAGCTTCAAATCCCAGCTGTGTCCCCGAGCTGTTGTGTCTAGCATCTTAGATTCTGGGAGTGTGGGTTTCCTCATCAATAACATGAGGCCAAAACCAGTAACTTCCCAGGGAACTGTCCTGAGCCTTACTGGTAGTAGGTAGTGTCATCTAATCAGTCAAGTTCATCTGCAGACAGGTGGGGTAAGGCAGATGGTGGTAAGCTTAATTAGACTTACTCAACCAGACCTAGCAAAACCCTTAGAATCCTATAAACTCAATCAAAATGACCAAGGAGTGTGAAGGCTCTATGGGGAATAATGAAAATATGCTAAGATTTTTCTATTGATCTGAAAGGTAGGTATACGGAGAGCAAGATCTTTTATTTCTTAATTTTTCTAAAGATTTATTTACCCTCATTGGAAAAGCAGATTTATAGAGATAAGGAAACAAAAAAATCCTCCACCCAATAGTTCACTCAGCAAGAAGCTGCAATAGCCAGCGCTGGGCAGATCCAAAGCCAGGAGCCAGGAGCCTCTTCCAGGGCTCCAACACGAATGCAGGGTCCCAAAGACTTTGCGCCATCCTCTGCTGCATTCCCAGTCCACAGCAGGGAACTGGATTGGAAACAGAGCAGCTGAGATTAGAACCTATGTCCATATGGAATGCCAGTGCTTGCAGGTAGAGAACTAGCCATTTGAGCTATCACACCAGCCCCAAGAACAAGATCTTCCATCCACTACTTCACTCCCCCAAACGTCCATAATGGCTGGGACTGAGCAAGGACAAGGCCTGGAACTGCAATTGGGTCTCCTATATGGGTGGCAGGAGCAGAAGCACTTTAGCAGGAAGCTGGATCAGAAGGGAAGTTCAGTCATTAAATGACCAACAGCACTGTTTCTTCTAGAAGAATCTTCCTGATGAAGTCTAGCATCAGGACCAGTGCTGTTGCAGCACAGTGAATTAAGCCACCACCTATGACGCTAGCATCTCACAAGCGCCCTGTTCATATGAGTCCCCAGCAGCTCCACTTCTGCTCCAGCTTCCTGCTAATGCTCCTGAAAAGGTAGCAGAGGCTCCTGGTACCCAAATAAGATAACTGGATGGAGTTCCAGGCTC